ATCCTTTCAGTTCCCAGTTGCTCAGAAGGGAGGGAGGGAGGGAGGGAATGCAGCCATGCTAATAGATTATTTTGCTGATTTTGCAAGTCTGAGTGAAGGCATTGTTCTGAAACAGCCAGGCTCTGCAATGAAATTAGACTAGTCTGTTCCTTACAAAATCTTGTTAGCAAAAAATGGTCCTGGCATGCAGCAGATGTTGCATCTCCCGTGGTTATTCCTCCTCCTACCATAGCTTTTCCCTCCCCACATCTGTCTGGACATGGTGCAGATCCCCAGTCAATCTGAATCTCAGAAACCTGCACCAGGAAACATTTATGGTAAAACAGTCACCAATTATAAAGCAAATTAGAAAGTGATTTTCTCCTTACAGCCCTGTGTGGAACTGGACTGGCTGGAGAAGGTGAGGAAGATATTTTCTGCTTTACATGTATTTGGAAGAAAATTTTGTGTGTTTTGGGAAAGTATCCCAAAAGGGAGAGCAGAGGGAAAGACCATGTGCTTTTGGGTGGGAAGCAAAAAAGTACAAGATAATTGCTCTGATTGGGTATTCTTTTTTGCCTTAATGAACTTCAAAAACCCAAAGCTAGAAGAAGCAAACTGTCCCAATCTGGGCTGTCATAAGCCAGACCTCTGCAATCAGCCCCTTATCAACAGGGACCTGCTCTGGCTCTGATTTCCACCTCTGTCCCACATCCATTGGAGGAGGGAGGATATGAATCACCAGAACTTTGAATCACTATTTTGGCCCTCTCTGTGGTATCAATCTGAATCTTTCCATGGAACAATCCACACAGGCTTTCTCTAAATTGTGTTTTGTTGCCTGGAGCTCAGCAGGCATTTCAGCAGACAATTTTGGGGAGGGCAGATCATCTCTGATGGTGGTTAGGTTCCTTGCAATAACCATCTCCAGAAGTGTTCAAAGAACACGTAGGTGTGGCACTTGGCAACATGATCTAGTGGTGAACATGGAGAAGTTGGATTAGTGGTTGGCCTTGGTTATCTTAAGGGCTTTTCCAGCCTCAGTGATTCGGTGATTCCTGGGATCCTCCAAGACAGGTTTTCCTTAGGGGTACAGAGACATGGATGGCTCCCTTGGCCAAGGTAGAGTTAAGAACCACACATTAAAACCATTGCTTCCCTGCAGCCATGGCTTTTGGCTTCCCCTCCCTGTTCCTTCCTGCTCTCCATCTGTGTCCAGACCAGGAGCAACCAGGATCAGGCTGTGATAAATGAAGGACAGGATGGAGTTCCTGCCTGCTGGAGCCTCAAGTGGCAAGAGGCAGTTTGAGCTGGTTCTGCAGTGGCTGAAGCCTGAACCCAGGAGGCCCCAGGGTGTGTGTGGGTGGAGATGTTGGTGTGCTGCCCTCCCCTCTCTGGGTCATGGTGCTGGGAGGGTGACGTGGTGTTTGCTGCCTGGATAAATGTTATTGCTCACCTGGATTCTGTCTGCTCCGTGGCAGGGAGGGGAGGAAACCAAGGTCATGACCTTCTCTGGTCTGGGGATCTCCGCTTCCCTCCTCCCTTTGCACATGCAAATCCCAGGCCCTGTAATTCCATCTGGCTGCAGAACAAGCTCCTTATCACTTCCAGCACTTTTCACAGGAAAAGGAGCACTAAATGTTCCAAAGCTTTTCTTGGCTTTTTGACCTAGTTCCCACTGGTATCTTGTCCATCAACCACTTCTGTACGTAGGCATGGTGCTCCATGGCTCTGAGCGTGCTCTGCATCACACACCAGGGCCCCACTGTGCTCCATGCAGTCCTGGGGCATTGCAGCCTGGCTTAAACAGTGCCTTGGCCCTTGGCTCCCACCTGAATACAGCCAGAAAGAATACAGGGAATGTCATCCCAGTGGATTGAGGCCACACAGTCTACACCAGGTACAAAATGTATGAGTGGAAACTCAGAAGCTTCAATAGGGACTGAAGAATCCAAGTAATTTAATATTGGTAAGCTCCAGTCTAAGGAATATGGCAAACCTTCCCAGGGGGTTTTGCTGGGGAGACTGACCCATGGATGAGATTCATCCTGATAGAACCAGTTCCGTGGCATTAGAACAAGGAGGCAATGCTGCCCTCCCCTTTGGAAGGATTGGATATTAGAAAACATTTTATCACTGAAAGGGTGTTTGTCGCAGACATCTTTTGTGAAAAATCTTTTCTTTAGGATTTTTCCTGCTGAAGCTGAGAAGTTTCAGCAACAAATGTAAGCAATGGTTATCTGCTCCTGTGGAATGCACCAAGCTCATCCGTGATTGGTCTCCTGTAGATGTTTAGATGTGGTGAGCAGTCACGGCAGAGCTGAGTCTCGCTCTCTGTCCAAGACAGCTGCCTTTGTTATTCATTCTTTTCTATTCTTAGCTTAGCTAGCTTCTGAAGAAATCTTTTCCTTCTATTTCTTTTTAGTATAGTTGTAATGTAATATATATATATATAAAATAAAATAATAAATCAAGCCTTCTGAACATAGAGTCAACATTCTCGTCTCTACCTTCACCTGAAAACCTCTGTGACCACTGTCGCAGGTGTTCAAGAATTGGAACTGGGAAGCAGTGGGATCACCATCTCTAGAAATATTCAAGAAAAGTACAGATGTGGTGCTGAGAGACATGGTTTAGTAGTGGACTTGGCAGTGCTGGGTGAATGGCTGGATTCCATGATCTTAGAGGTCGTCTTAATGGTTCTGTGATTTTTCACTCTGGAGAAGAGAAGGCTCAGGGGAATCTTAACAATGTCCATAAATACTGGAGAGCTGGGAATGAAGGAGACAGAGGCAGACTTCTCATTGGTGCCCAGTGACAGCACAGGAGACTGTGTGTGCAAACTGAAAATCAGGAAATTCCATTTAAGTAGGAGAAAAGACTCGATACTGTGAGGGTGGTCCAAAAACTGGCACAGGCTTCCCAGAGAGGATGCAAAGTCTCCATTCCTGGAGACACTCAAAACCTGATGAACACAGTCCTGAGCAACCTGCTGTGGCTGACTCTGCTTTGATTAGGGGTTGTGGACTGGATGATATCCAGAATTTCCTTATAACCACATTGATTTGGTGTTTCTGTGCTTAGGATCACTGGGACCAGGCTCAGTCCCAGGGCTTGAGCGTGGTGTGTGGGCCTTCTGCAGGGGAGCATGGTAGCCCAGCTCTTCACTCCAGGGCAGACCTTACTGCAGCTTCTCAGTACTTGAGAGTGGCTTGTAAGAAAGATGGGGACAAACTTTTTAGCAGGGCCTGTTGAGACAGGACAAGGAGTAGTGGTTTCAAACTGAAGGACAATTGATTTAGGCTACCTATAAGGAAGAAGTTTTTTACAAAGAGGGTGGTCAGACACCGGCTCAGTTTGCCCAGAGAGGTGATCGATGTCCCAGCCCCAGAAACACTCAAGGTCAGGTTGGACTGAGCTCTGAATAACCTGATCCAGTTGATGATGTCCTCACTTATTGGAGTAGATGGACTTTAAGAGATTCCTTCCAACCCAGACCATTTCGTGTCTCTGTTTCTCCCCTGTGTAATACCAAGCAACTCCTTTACTGCAATCCTCATATCCCCCCAAGGGCAGAAGGGGCAGCTGTGGCCCTCAGATGGGATAGATAAAGAGCAGGATCACAAGGATCACAAGGAGCAGATCTCACAGACACCCCCAGCAGCAGACACATCCCCAGTGCTGGCAGCTTTCCCGGTGCAGTGAAGCAGGAGCTGAGCCCGCTCCTCTCCCATCCCTGTGTGCGCTCAGCGATGCCGAGAGGCGCCGGTGGCTCCTGCCCTCGCTGCTGTCAGCTTGCCTCCCTCTAGCGCTCATCCCAACATCCTGCACCGCCAGCTTCAGGGGATTAGTCCTTTTCCTTGGCTCTCATCCTGGCCAGTTTGTGTCAGGTTAACTTGGAGGTATTTGCTGCTGGCTGGGCTGGGTGGGAATAGCAGGAGGTGCTTTTGGTTTCTATCCCTGTGGTGAGGCCTTAGGCAACATAATCTAGTGGGTGGGGTCTCTGCATGGAGTGCAGGGTTTGGAACATGATGATCTTTAGAGTCCCTTCCAGCCCAAGCCCTTCCGTGAATCTATGGGTAGAGGTAATACAAGTCCTCATATGCAAAGTCAGGGGGAAGGGGGGGGGCATATTATTCTGGGTACAACCAGCCTGAAAAATTGGAAAGTGTTGGGGAAGAAGAATAATCTGCTTTTCCTTTTTCCTCTTGAAATTAAATATAATAGCAAAGGGGGAAAGGTTCTTTCAGCTCTTTGTCTGTCCCATCTGCTCCCAGCCTCCAGCTAGATGTGAATTTACAAAGAGTATTGAGCAGGAGAAAAAACACTTTTAAAAAAGCAGTGTGTCACCTGAAGCTTGCTCAACACCCTCTGTTATTAAGTGCTTTCTTGGCCAGGCTCTAAGTGGGAGTGGAAAGCAGGGAGGGCAGCCTGACAGAAGCCAGGCAGAGAAAGTCAATGGTCTTGGTGCATGGTTGGAGGGATGAGCTTACCTCCCAGCTGCGTCCTACCCAAGTTTCTCCATCCATGGTGTCTGTGCACAATCCACCATCCTGGTTTTGGTGGCAGTAATGGTATTTAATCCTTCTGGCTCAGCTACAAAGCTTTTGGCTCATCAAAATTTTTGTATCTGCTGTGCTAGGATCTGGAAGAGCAGATCCCTCACTGTTTGTAAAGCAGTCACAGAGTAGAGGCATCTGAGAGAAGACTTAGAAGGGCAGTAATGGTGTGAAACTATATTATCAACAGGGATAATTATGACAAAGCTGCCCTGGTGCTGGGACAGAATGGGGGGTAGGTGTTGTGATGCTGCCCGTGTCCTGGTGGGAGGAGCAGGCAGGGCAGGGTCCTTCTGCCACCAGCCTGATGAGCGAGGCCAGCAGAAAGCTGCAGGTCAGGTTTACATGGAGCCTGAGGAAGAGAGGAAGTGACTTTCCTTTGCCAAGAATCCTCACTCCTGATTTCACTGTATTTCCCTGTCTGCTCACTGAGCCAGTGTCTGTTTTCCTCCTGTCCCACAGGAAATCTGCAATGATCCACGTCTCTTTGTGGATGGGATCAGCTCCCATGACTTGCACCAGGGCCAGGTTGGGAACTGCTGGTTCGTGGCTGCCTGCTCCTCCCTGGCATCCCGGGAGTCTCTGTGGCAGAAGGTGAGTGGTTCCCCATGCCAGGGGAGAGCCTGTCAACACCTTGGCTTCACATTGTGTTTGTCCAGGTCAAAAACTGGTTCTCAGAGATGCCTCCTGTCATGAAAAGCTGATAATGTGCAAAAATCTCCCTTAAAAGACTGTCTTACAAAGGGCATTGGTCATCATGACTGCAGCAACCACACTCCAGCCAAAGCCTTGGCCAGTTTCTCCTTAACCAAGTGGATCAAATCCCATGCTGTTTTTCAGATCCCAAATTTGACCCTTTGAATACCAAAATAATCCAAAAATTAACAAGAACAAAATTCAGGATGCTCAGCTGCAGCATTAGGCCCTGTTTCCCTTGTTCCCATGGTGTCCCCTCTCTTTGACTGTTTACTGTGTCCCACCTTGGCAGTGAGACACCTCATGCTCAGGGGCAGGAAGGTTGATTTCAGGCTGTTAGCATCTCTCCCAAGTCACTGCTTGCCAAAGCATCCATCCCTGGCCTGTCCCATGGCTGCATGTCACCATGTGGCAGTGTTTCTTCAAGTATGGGGTGCAGGGGGAATGTCCTGTGTGCCAGAAAGCCACCAAGGAGCTGCAGCAGGGCGAGGGGCTGCAGGCCTGGGGAGCAAGCAGAGAGGTACAAGGGGAGGGAGGTGTTCAGTGCCCCATCCTTGGACAGTCTGTGCCCATCTCCTCCATGGCCTCAGCTGTGCGAGATGTCAGCCCTGTGAAAGCCAAGGCAGGAGGACTTCAGCCTCTGGTGCAGGTGTGCATCATCACAGGGCAAGAGACCAGCAAGTTGCAAGCAGCTTTTCCCAGATTTTACTGTAAAAGGCAGCCAGTGTGTGCAGGCTGCACCATCTCCTTCACCCACAGCTTCCTACAGCCTTCCTCCACCCCACACCTTTACATCTGCCCTGGGTATTGTGGTTCTTCCAGTCTCTGCTTCCTGTGGTAAGCATGAACACCAGGCTCAGGGATTTCTTGCAGCATCCCCATTTTTTGTTAAAATTGAGGGTTTTCTTTATATGTGAGCAGGATAGCTGTTGTTGCCTCCTAGATAAGCAGTATGACTTCCTGCCATGGTGGCTGTGGTGACTGCTGTGGCTCTATCACAAGGGTGATGCACAGGGTTGTTTAGCTTGTTCCTCACCATCAACATCCCCCAAGGGTGAGTGGGCAAGTTGTCATCCTTCCTCACCATTCACTTCCAGCTCTGCCCTGGGAAATGCCAACCAAACAGAGGCTGGGTCCCTTTGGACACTTCATTATTTCAGTTTGCCAGGCACTGCTTTTCCTCCCTTGACAATTTGGCTGTGGGTGTTTGTGACTTCTCATTTTCCATTGCTTTAACTCTCAGAGGCTTTTTCTTACCTGCCCTCTCTTTTCTTTCAGAAGGGTTTGATTTATAGAATTATAAAGGTTGGAAGGGACCCTAATGACCATTTAGTTCCAGCTCCCCTGCCACTGGCAGGGACACTTTTCACTGGACCAGGTTGCTCAAAGCCCCATCCAACGTGACCTTGAACACTTCCAGGGATGGGGCATCCACAAATTCTGTGAGCCACTTGTGTCAGTGTCTCACCATGCTCACAGTAAATAATTTCTTAGTTGTTGAAGATCTCAGAGACAGAAATAATGGGCCCCTTAGTCCTAAGTGTGATTACACATGCAATGTTATCACGTGTTGTCTCTATTTGGGATCTGGCAAGAGCTGAGAGATGCTGATGCAGGCTTTAGTATCTCTGAAGTATCAGCCCAGGAATCTTGGCCCAGATCACCCATGGCTACTAGAAAATGTGTTCCTGGTGTACACCAGGATGTAACATAGGCTCTGCATGTCCCTTGCTCCATTTCACTCGGTGAAACTGTCTCTCTTAAGTGTGGGGAGGGGGAATACCTTCAAGAAAATAAGGCAGGCTGGCACATCACTGGGGATCCTAGGAGGTTATTTTATTCAAACATTTTCTTCCACCTTGCTTTCTCCATGCCCCTGCTTCCCATTATGCCTGTGTGGTGTGAATCACTGAGTGGGAATGGGGTACTGGAATTTAGTTGAGAGCCATTTTCTAAATTGCTGAGTCTTGGATGACCCTACATGGTTCTAGGTGTGATCTGGCTCTGTAACACCCTTTCTATGACCCTTCAGATGTGTCTGGCTTTTATGAAAAGAAGTGGAGACATGAAAATGAGAGGTAAAACCATGCTAGGATGCTAGTACTGATTTGCTGCTCCAGGACCAGTGTGGTGTCTGGTTCCTGCCAGCTGTGCCATGCAGAAAAGGGCATGATGGTCATGTTAGTTTGCTATTCATTGACTTATAGTCAATTTGTCCCTTGGGACCCTCCTGTCTTTTTCTGGATGGCACAGCCTGATGCAGGCAACCAAAATGGTCAGGAGGAAAGTGGGTTTGTACATCCAGGAGGAGAGAAGGTAAAAGGGAACTTATTGCTGTGCGTAGCTAATTGATTGTAGAATCACAGAATGGTTTGGCTTGGAAGGAACCTTTAAAGGTCATCTAGCTCCATCCCTCCTGCCATGGGCAGAAACACCTGGCACTGGACCTTCTTGCTCAGAGCCCCATCCTGCCTGGATAGGGGAGTTTGGACAAGATGGAGCCACGCTCTTGTGGGGATGCGCAGCCAGAGGACAAAGGATAGCAGCACAAGCTGCAGCTTATCTTCTGCATGAGCTCAGTCAGACCCTGGAACAGGGCTCACAGAGGCTGTGGGACCTCTCTCCATGGAGATACTCAAAGATGGACTGAATGAAGCCCAGAGAAACACAACTGAATTAATTCTGAAGTAAGTCCTGCTTTGAGCAGTAGCTTGGACCAGACTCCTCCAGAGTCTCATTCCAGCCTGAGTTAGGCCTGAACCTACATTCAGAGAAAACCACTACCACTCATCCCCTCCCAAGGTGGCATCCCTGGCTTTGTTTTGGGATAATGAGCCATGGTTGTCAGGGAGGTTACCGGGGAGGCTGACATGAGACATCCCTTCCCTGTAGATTATCGTGCACAGCAGCACCAACAGCTCTGGATCTGCAGATGAGTCGGGAGGGCGCTCAGGGGAAGCCCCAGGGGTGTTTTGCGTCACTGGGCCAGGTTGCCTAGCGCTGCTGCGACTGTGGAGAAGGGACACCAGCTCCAGGGGCCTGTCTGATCCTTCCCCCTGCGTGTCCCATTTGAGAGCCACACGCTGCTGAGGACGGAGCAGAGGAGCAGCCAGGGTGATGGCGGCTGGGGCAGGGACGCTGGAGCTGCCCTTCACCTGCGACGAGCAGCTGACGCGGCGCATGCGGCTGCGGTTCCAGAGCCTGCAGCAAAGGAACATGAGGGCCCAGGACGGGGAGAGGCTGCTGCGCCCCAATGAGCACATCTTCCGAGTGGATTTCATCCAGCAGCACCAGCTGCGCTTCCTCCGCTGGGACGTGCAGCTGGAGAGACCCGGCAAGGTCACGGTGACGGGCACCTCCCAGCTCTGGACTCCTGACCTCACCCACCTGATGAACCGGCAGCTGCTGGAGCCGGTGGGAATCTTCTGGAAGAAGCCGGGGGCCGAGGAGGTGCAGTGCAATGAGGCAGATGCCCAGGAGTTTGGGGAGAGGATAGCAGAGCTAGCCCAGATCCGCAAGGTGATGTATTTTCTCCTCACTTTCACTGGCGGCCTCGAACCAGCTCAGCTGAAAGGCTCCATTGTTTTTAAAGCCTGATCCCCTCTTGCTCAGCTTTTCTCCTTCCAGCTATGTTTCTTTCAGTTCAGTTCTTCGTTCCATTTTTGCATCTGTTTTTTTTTTTCTTTTTAATGAGAGCCAGTACTGTGGTAAAGCAGAGAACAGCTCAGTGCTTCTGGAGCCCCTCAGCCTTGTGAAATATTCCCCAAATGTGCTTCCTTCTGTCCAAATGGTGGGGAGAAGGGGACCATGAGCTTGCTGCTGCATTTTCCTGGAGTGTAAAACTGTGTGCTTGTGAATTCATCAGGGATTCACACAGGGTCTCATTGGCTTGGAAATACAAGACTGCCCTAAGTCCTCTCACTGTAGCAACTGCACACCAAAAACCCACTGGAAAAATGAGTAATTGCCATACCAGAAACCATTAGGGACCCCTGGAGAGAGCCCTGCTTTCCAGTTTCCATCCTAGCCATTGTTTGTGATGGAGTTCCTCTCCTTGCAAGGTGCTGAGTGCTTGCAGGCTCTGATGACTTGTGCTGCTGCTGTGGCTGCTTGGAGTCTCTGAAGACCAGTCCCATGGAGAATCCACCTTGCTGTGAAGCTGAAGTACATACACCTGGACTCACTCAATGTGTTCTGCAGATTGTAAACCCACTGGACTAATGGGGAGGTTGGACCAGCCTTTTCTGACCACTGCCACCATTTCTTGCTGGAGGGAGGGTGGAATTTGTTGGTCCAAGATGGATGGAGCAGATGTGTGTGTGTGTGGGTTGAGCCATCAGCTCAGAGTGGCCAGCAATGAGTCCACTGCAGCAGGGCTAATTTGTGCTTTGTTCTGTCCTTAAAACATCCATGAAAAAATTTACTCTGAAGTGTCTATAGAGAGCCATGAGGCTGCAGAGCACTTTGCAAGCCACAGAGCAGGAACCTGCTGCTTCTGTCCCTGAAAAGCAGGGTCTCCTGCCCTCTAAAACACAGGGAAGGGTGACCAGGGGAGCAGAGGGGAGTGATACATTTATAAGTATTGGAAGAGCAGAGTGTTTTGTGTCCAGTTTGCCCCATGACTGCAAGGAAACTACTACATTTGGATGTTTCCTTTTCTTCCACCAAAAAATGGAGAGTACTTCAATGGAGCTTCTTGAGACACACAGATTGAAAAGTCCCTTGAAAGAGCTAAGTGTTATCACAGTTGGTCCTCTGCTCCGATTGCACTCCAGCGTGTGTGAGTACTCCTCAAGGGGTGATCTGACATCCTCCAAAAATGAGTAAGGAGAGAGCAGTGGTGGGAAAGCCAGGGCGAGGTGACTTTGTACCTGTGGCCTGTGGACTTATGCAGACCAGCCCCAAAATGAGTCCAACCTCTTCTCCAAACCTCCGGAGATGCAGACCCTATGCCTTCCCTAGCCCAACAATAATGTATAAAATGGCATGCACAAGTTATGCTGGGCAGAGAGGAGAAAGAAAGCAGATCAGCTGCTGGCTGTAGTGATGGTGGGAGCTCTGAGTCTTGCCCAAAACCAAGGCCCAGCAACCACCAAATCCTACAGCCATGCCATGGCCATTGCCAGACAAGTTGATGTCTTTGTTTAGACCCCAAGAAATGCTGGGCTCGGTGAGTCAAGTGGATGCATCCCTGCTTGGCCAAACACCCTCTAGGGTCCTAGCAGACTTTGCCATAGAAAACCCCTCCTTGTACATCCCAGAGCAGAATTCCTGACTACAAACCACTGTAGACCAAATAACAGGAGCCACTGGCAACATCCAAAGGGGTTATTGCATGCTAAGTCTCACAATATGCCATTGCTACGTTGCTAGGGTAGAGTTCTTGCTGCAGATATCTCCCTGGGTGTTGGTGTACCATAGTAAATAAAAGCCTAGACAATGGGTTCCCCTTAAGGACTGAGGCTGTTTGTGTCTTCTTCATGCTCCTTTTGGCAGCTGCCCTAATCCTGCACACAATAAAGCACCAAATTTCAGCTCAATATTGGTATTCTTGAGCCCCTTTTAACTTCCTGTAAAATGTAAAATGAACGTTTACTTTCTTCTCTGAAAGGCTCCATGGAGTATTGAGCAGGGTTTTTTTTGGTCAAGAGGGGGTTGAAACTGGGCATAGAAGGGGAAATGATTCTCAGGTGGATCCTTGTTTCCTTCAGAACTGGGGAGAGAGTGAGGGGACCAGTGTGATCTCTCTCTGCTGCAGGGAAGATGAGCCTCTTTTTACCCATCACTGAAACTATCCCTACACAGTTTCATTATAAAAACTTTCAGATACATCACCCTGTCCCATCTCCCAGGGCAATTTCATCCCACTTTGTACCACAGCCCAGCAGAGTGGTACAGCTGGGTGCCTCTCTCCTTATTCTGAACTGGCAAGTTCCCAGCACAAAGCTTGGAGAACTTGGCATGTACCAATTTCTCCTTCTAGTCAGGGACGTTTTTTTACAGGGTCACAGGTTCCTTTTCTTTTAATTAGCCACTCTCAATTTTCTTAAGAAAATTGAAAAAAGCCCTAAATCAGCTTAGGGAGGCGAACCTGGCATTTTTGAGCTCCTCATTCACCTGTCTCTGAACCCTTTCACTGTAAATTTGTTGCACTAAATGGTGTTGCAGCTCCAGAATTTGTGAACCCCTAAGGAAAAGGCAGCACAGCTGGGTGAAGGAGAAGAATGTTGTTTGCACTACCCAGTGTAGCACAACCAACCTGAGTACAGGACTTCTTGGGATCCTGGGATGGGTGGTCCATGGCCATACTCTCCAGCAGGGAACACCTGTGGAGATCAGACTTCTCTCATTTCCTCCTGGGTCAGTGTAGAAAACAACCAGTCCTTGCTCCTGGACCCTGCTCTGGATGAAGGCTGACCATTTTTGCTGCCTTCAGTGGTGGAGGGTGCTCCCAGAGCTGTTCCCAAGGGAAGAAATGAGTGGGATGGTGGGGACCTGTGTGTCCTGCCACCAGTGACAGTAGGAGCAAGCCTCAGACCCAGCCAGCTGGAAGCTGTCACTCCCAGCTCTGGCACACAAGCTGCCTCTGATCAATGCTGGGATCATTTCTAAGCCCACGTTAATAGCGAGTTGATTATCACAACTGCTCCCTATGACAATTCATTAGGATGAGCTCCAGTCAGGAGGGAATCCATGGGCACTGATGGAGGGCTGGCTGACCTCTCCTGGCAGTCTCCAGAGAGGACTCTGGGACACAGTTGTTAGCACTCCTATAAAGCACCAAACCCTCCAAATGTGCTCTGTTTCATGGCTTTGTCTGCTCTGCTTCTATTGATCCATATGACTAAAGAGTGGCTGTGAGCTTGCAGGGCTGATGGCATCATTAATATTTCAGTGTAGGAGCAATAAGAGCCCTGGACTAGATCATTGCTGGTAGCTAAGAAGTCAGGGGGCTCTTCAGAGGGAATTCTCTCTGCACAATTCCTGCTTTGTGACAGCAGACAAAAAAAAAAACCAGAAAAAAGACCCCAACCAAACAAAAAACAAATGAACAACAACAAAAACAAAGCAGCTCTGTCAGCTGGACAAGGGTAGACAGTAAAAGTGGTTTCACCACCTTTGTGACTTCTTGTGAGGCTGTTTCCATGCAATGTAGCTGTGTCCTCTCCTATCCCATCCCCTCAGCTCTCCACAGAAAAGTGATTATTTGGTGTATTGGAACATAATAGCATAATGCATGCTTGCATGGACACTTTGGGGTTTTTTGTCACTGAGCTCGTGTTCCTTTGGGAGCAGGTAAGTGGAGTAGCAGGGCTGTGGACAGTCAGTCAGTTCACTGCTGCTGTGTAAGTCAGTCCTTGCCAGCCATCAGCTGCAGTAACCACACGTGGCCTCTCAACCTGCCCTGGCCATGCAGTAAAACCACATTGCCTCCAGCCTCAGCAAAAGCTAAACTGTGGTGTGGTGTTGCCTTGTGCCTCTGTGTCCTGGTTCCAAACAAGATGCAGATCCTCCTGCATGTAGAAACTGTGCCTGACTGTGCTCATTCTGTCCCAGCTGTTGGGTGAATTTTCCATCCAAAGCAGAGCTGGTGGTGCCTGCAGCCATATGGGCTATGGACTTTGGCAGTTCCCCTTTGCTTGTGCTGTCCTGCTGGCAGCGACACCAAACCTGTGCCTCCTCTGACCCTTCTAGGGCTTCTTTCACCTCAGGCCTTCTTTTCTATCTTTCATCAAATCACCTCCCTGTGCTTGCCTGGGTGAGTTTGGTAGGTCTTGACAGGAAAGAATGGAGACCTTGAGGGAATGGGGATCCTGCTTTTCCCACTTTTACTTAACAGAGTAGGCTCATGAAGAGTATCTGCTGCATGTATCTTTGTTGGCACTAGGTAGATGAATACCACACTTGTTCTTGGGCCAGTCAAGTCACACCAGAATCAAGTAGGAGAATCAAAGTAGGTGCTCTTTGTTAGTGGTACCCTACTGACACTAGGAAAACCAAAAGACACGGTCATAAAAATAACCGTCCCTGGTTAGACAAAGAACTCATCTGCTCGAACAGCCTGTCTACAAAAGTAGATAGCAGCAGATGTCCTGGGTAGCGTTATAAGAAAGAGGACAAAGATCTTTAACTTCTCCCTCCAAAGGACAGAGAAGTCTAAGCTATTCCAGTACATGATAATTTAGTCTGCATTGGCAGAACCAGGTCCAGAATCTGGCCCCAGCTGACTGTAAGCAAGTCCATCCCCCTCATATTCTTCCTTGTCTTTGATATTGTCTGCATTAGTGCCAGGATGAGAGTCAATCCCAGCAAAAAGAAAAGGAATAATTTGGGTATATGTGCCTCTTCTTTTGCAGGTCATCCCAGACTGGAAGGAGCAGGAGTGGAACCCTGAGAAGCCCGAGAGCTACGTGGGGATCTTCCACTTCCAGTTCTGGCGTTTTGGTCAGTGGCTGGATGTGGTGATCGATGACCGCCTGCCCACACTCCACAATCAGCTCATCTACTGCCACTCCAACTCCAGGAATGAGTTCTGGTGTGCCTTGGTGGAGAAAGCTTATGCCAAGTAGGTACCCAGGCAGTTGTAGGATAAAGTGGGACCTGGGCACTCTGATTTTCCTCTCTGTTCATTTACCAGCTAGTTTCCAGCAGTGGAAACATCATCTTTGCTGTGGAGAAGTAGTACATGACTCAAACAGACAAACACTGAGGAAAAAAACCGTTCTCTAGCCCTAATTTACCCTCAAAGCAAAACACCCTTCAATGTTTCTTTAAGTAACACCTATTCTAGAGATTTGAGGTTCCTTTTACATTGGTCCTATGACAGCAAGAGTGCAGCAAGGAATGTGGGTCCTATTTTTTCACCCTAGGTTGCTGTCCTCTCCCACTTGAAGTTCAACTGCAAATCTCCATTCTTGTGGTTGCCCCAAAAATCGTCCCCGACCCCTTAAAATGTCAGGCCAGTGTTTTGCCATCCCTGCCACCCTCTTTCAGGTTGTCAGGCTGTTACGAGGCGCTGGATGGAGGCAACACAGCTGATGCCCTGGTGGATTTCACTGGTGGGGTCTCTGAGCCTATCGACCTGACCGAAGGGGACTACATTGCTGATGAAGCCAAGCGCAACCTCCTCTTTGAGCGCGTGTTGAAGGTGCACAACAGGGGAGGCCTCATCAGCTGCTCCATCAAAGTAAGCAACATTGCCAGTATGGCCACAGTGCTGTGGGAATAGGTGTTTGAGGATGCAGTTGTCTTACACAGTCATGAAATTCTAAATTAGATCAGATAAATTGTGGCCAAGGGTTCCCACTTCAGGGAGCTGGCAAAAGGAACAAATCCTGAATGTAAATCCTCTTTATTCTTTGTTGCTATGTCCAAGAGCCCACATTCATCCCAGCACTCTTTTAAGGCTAGGAGGGGATCCACTCCAGAGAAAGGCATTTTGGTGTTTGCATCTGGGCATCTTTACAAATGCTGGTTTCCAAACCTCCCAGTATAACCAGTATATGAGCTTTATCAGTTGCCAGTATGGGAGCTCAGAGACCTCATGACGCAAATTAAGAAAAGGGGGGATGCAGCACATAAAATGGCATCTGAGATGTGTCAACTGTCTTTCTCCTGACTATTGATGCTCTTCTTTTTGGCTTAAAGAAATGTGCAGGGAAATCTGAGTTGTTTCCCAGCCCCTGCAGCGGTGGTCATGTCCCCCAGGTCTGAGCACTGTCTGTGTCCCCCTGCCAGGCCACGTCAGCAGCTGACATGGAGGCTCGCCTGGCCTGCGGACTGGTGAAGGGCCACGCGTACGCAGTGACGGACGTGCGGAAGGTCCGTCTGGGCCACGGCCTTCTGTCCTTCTTCAAGTCGGAGAAGCTGGACATGATCCGCATGCGCAACCCGTGGGGCGAGCGGGAGTGGAACGGCCCTTGGAGTGACACGTGAGTTGGGATGGACAGCTTGTTCCAGTGGGAAATTCTTCCCTGTGAGGGTGGTGAGGAACTGGCACAGTTCCTCAGAGAAGCTGTGGATGCTCCATTCCTGGAAGTGTTCAAGGCGAAGTTGGATGGGGCTTTGAGTGATTTGGTCTAGTGATAGGTTCCCCTACTCATAGCAGGGGGGTTAGAATGAGATCATATTTAAGGTCCTTTCCAACTGAAACCATTTTGTGATTGTATGATTCCATGTTCGTTCATACTAGTGATGTTCATAGGTCACCTTTGTGCTCCCAGTCTTATTCCAGCTAAACGAGCACCCAACAGAATCAGCCTCTGTCACCACCAACTGCTGTGATGGCTGGGGATGAGATGAGGAACCAAGGGCTGGTGCAGCCAGAGCCTTTGGCCACAGTCAAATTTGTTGTCTTTATGGATAGGGCTGTGATGGTACTGGCCAAATAAAACCCTGCCAGACTGGATTCAACTCCACTGGTCAGGAAGCTATTGAAGGAAGGAAGTTGGAGTTCCAAGCCGTGCTGCACTTCCCTTGTGTTTGGCTGATGACCTAACCAGAGCAGCATGGGGACTGGCTTTATACAGTCCTTGTGCCTCAAATTCTTGCGTGTCCCTTACCTCTGAGTAATGGTCTTGGTCTCTTCCCACAGCTCTGAGGAGTGGCAGAAAGTGAGTAAAAGTGAGAGGGAGAAGATGGGAATGACAGTGGAAGATGATGGAGAGTTCTGGTGAGTCCCTCCTGGGTTTGTCACTACAGGCCATGCTCACAGCATCCTCCCACCTCATGGAGCATGTACATCTTTTCCATGCATACAGCTAGCCAGAGAAAACAGGCTTCCAAGACGTAGGATCTCTAGTGAAGCTCCCTCCCCTCCTTGAGCCCATGGGTGTTAGCTTTTGATGGCCATGGCCCTGGAATTGCAAAGTGCTCTTCTGGGGCACCACTCAGGGGCCAAACCATTTCACCAGGGTACTGAGAACCTGTCCTAAATATGCTGAACTTCACAGCCTCACCGGGAATAATTCAGTACTACATTTACTCTTGTGTGGCAAAAGGGCCACTGTGCTACTTCTCCCACTCCAAAACACACAGATCTGTTGTTTGAACTCAAGAAGTATTTACTGCAGGCATAGAGAAAGATATCTCCATCTTTTCTGGAAATATCTGATGAATAGCTTTTGTTACTCATCAGCCATCAGAGACAACCCGCACTCTCTAACAGGTGATCAAGAAAATCCCTGCAGTGTACCTTTCCAGGGAATGAAGCAGCATAACCCAGTTCTGCCCTTTCCTGATTCAGGATGACCTTTGAAGATTTCTGCAAATACTTCACGGACATCATCAAGTGCCGTCTGATCAACACCTCCTACCTGAGCATCCACAAGACCTGGGAGGAGGCAGTGCTGCATGGGGCATGGACCAGAAGCAGTGACCCCTTGAAAAACCGCTCCGGAGGCTGCATCAACCACAAGGACACTTTTCTGCAGAACCCCCAAGTGAGTAATGGGGCAGAGGGCCTTCCAGAGCCTTCACATGTGCTTCCAAGTGTTTAACTCTCCCACAGGGACCTAGAAGGCCAAAACACTACCAGACCTGTAATGTATTATTTGTGTTTATGGCAATTCTCTGGCACAGCATGACCAGCATGGAGGCCAACTCTGTTAATATTATCCCTCTTATCAAGGAGACTGCATCCAAGTGCTTAGTGTAGAGCATCTTGGCACAGGGGAACAACAAACTGTGCCACAGGGTAGCAATGTTGGCTGGTTCCAGTCAAACAGGGCCAGGAGTCATTTCCAACAATCTGGATGTCCGAATTTCCAGTTTTTGTGCCCAAACTTTGATGCTGTTAAATTTACCAGGACAAGTGTAGCCCATAGAGCCATTTCCTTGTAGTTTGAAGTTCATCTCCTGGAACAGACTTCTCTGGAGAAAAGGAGGCTCAAGGGGACCTTATGGGTCTCTGCAACTTCCTGGAAGTCCTAAGAAGTGGTAGGACAAGAGAAAACAGCCTCAAGTTGTGCCAGGGGAGGTTTAGATTGAATATTAAGGAAAACTTCTTTACTGGAAGCATGAATACTTAGGAGAGGCTGCCCAGGGCAGTGGTACAGTCACCATTTCTGGAAGCATTCAGGAGGCATGTGAATGTGGCACTTGGGGACATGGTTTAGCGGTGGCACTTGGGGACATGGTTTAGGGGTGGACTTGGCAGGTTAAGGGTTGTACTGGGTGATCTTAGAGGTCTTCTCCAACATAAATGATTCTACAATTGTCTTGTCCTCTCTGAACTGGGATTCTCACAATCACGAGCCAGGTCCTTTTGAGTCCTTCATCTAACAGGCAGTTGAAGGATGGTGAGTTCTGTTGCAGGTATTCTCATCAAGGATGTGGGAGAGTTGTTTCCATCTTCCAGCTTTGTAGCCTTTTGAAGCCATGCAGGGAGGTGGATTGGGAAAAGCTGATGTTGGATCTGTTAAATCCACCCCCACCATGTTCAGGGATCCTGTATTAATAAATATTTCCCTTACCTTCCTCTCTTTGCTTCTAGTATGTGTTTGATGTGAAGAAGGCAGAAGATGAAGTGCTGATCTCCATCCAGCAGAAGCCCAAAAGGACCAGTCGCAAAGAGGGCAAAGGAGAGAATTTGGCCATAGGCTTTGATATCCATAAGGTAGGCTGGGGTTCTGCATGTTGGCCTGAATGCCTCTGTAAATTTGCTGGTTGTGGGACAGTGCACCAGCCCTGCATGACCAGATTGTTCATTTGTGCATTATCAGGGTGCTTCTGGGGTGTCATCAGCACAGCCTGCCCTCCTCTAGAGAGGAAGAGGGATATCAAAGGGGACAGCATGGACAGCAGGTTGCCCAGAAAAGCTGTGGATGTCTCATCCTTGGAAATGTTCAAGGCCAGGCTGGATGTGGCTTTGAGTAACTTGTTCTAGTGTGAGGTGTCCCTGGCCATGACAGGGGATTGAAACCAGATGATCTTGAAGGTCCCTTCCAACCAGAACCATTCTGTGATTCCGTGCAGTTCTTGCTAAAAGCAACGATGAGTCTTTTCTCTCCAAATGTGGAAATCTGTCAGACTAATCCTTATGTGTTGTTTGCTGGGTCCGCAGTGTTAAGCTGGGATGCAAGAGATGAGTCCCTCAGTCAAAAGAATTTGGAAAGCCACATCCACACTTGTTTTCCACCCAGCACAATTGGGACCCTTTTTCCTGGTTCTCCTATCTCCAGCTCTCCTGGCACTGTGGACTCAATCCTTGCAATTTTTCCCCCCCATGGTGGATACCAGTACCTTTTCAGCCAGTGACAATCCGCTGTGATCTCTGCCCAGGTGGAGCTGAATAGGAACTACCGGATGCACACGCTGCAGCAGAAGGTGGCCAGCTCCATCTACATCAACTCCCGCAGCGTCTTCCTGAGGACAGACCTGAAGGAAGGCCGCTACGTCATCATCCCCACCACTTTTGACCCTGGTCACGAAGGCGAGTTCCTTCTCAGGATTTTCACAGACGTGCCTTCAGATTGCCGGTAAGGAGCACGAGCAGGGATGGGGAGGAATTGGCTCTTTGGAGGCAGCCCTGTGCTTTTGATTTGTGGTTTTTCCTGAATGGTCATAGCCTTGCCTGCAGCTGCTCTTGGCTTTCTGTTAAGCGTGGTCAGGAGACAGGACATCTTTGCAGGTATCTCCAGAGACATGCAGAGAAGCTCCCACTCTGCTTCTAAGCATGATATGGGAGAGCATCCCAAACCTAGGCTGAGACTGGAGTGAGGAACAGAGTCTGACAGTGTGTAGTCACAAAATCACAGAATATTCTGAGTTGGAAGAGACCCACAAGGATCAGCCAAAGGTCATTGAGTCCAACACTTAAATTAATGGCCTTCATTGTGCCAGAGCAAATTCTTTGGGATAAGACTGGGCACCTCTCAAAGGCCACGTGTTTTTCCTTGCAGAGAGCTGACCCTGGATGAGCCACCACACACCTGCTGGAGTGGGATGTGTGGCTACCCACAAGTGGTATCCCAGATCCATGTCCTTGCTGCAGCTGGGCTCAAGAATCAGGACTCCCAAGGAGGTACTGGTCTTTCCCTGCCTGTTGTCTGGCCCTGGAGGAGTTGGGAAGTGGTTAATGAAGTGGGACTTTGCTGGAATTTATATCCTCAGATTTTTTTTTTCTGTGAACATACTTAATTCATACACCAGAGGAGGAGAAAGTCCATGGAGGGCTAAACTCACTTCTTGCACTGGACATGATCTGGGACCTGTTATATCTAGGCTGTTACCTGGGACCTTCCCAAAACTTCCCCAAAGCCCTTAGCAGAGGTCCTGTAACAACCCAAGCTTTCCTCTCAAGTATAAGCAGCTGTAAAAGTCAGGAATTGTATTTAAAAGCTTCTTAGTAAGAGGGACAGAGAACGAGCCTGATGTGTGGTATTCATCACTGGAAGCTGGATAAATGTCTTATCAGCAGAGGGTATGCCAAATTTAGCTCACTTTGGGATGGTGTGGATCTAGATCAGTTCTGACATCCATCACTTTTCCTGCATGGAAGATGGCAGCAGGACCATACCTCCCCATGTCCTGCAGCCACACAGAGGCTCATGGCAAGAGCCCCATGCTCTGTCTGCCTCTGGACCAGGAAACCCAGTGGTAGTGATGGCTTGTACTAGGAGATTGCTAGGGGATAAAAGGTCTAGAGACAACAATTAGAGAAGCAAATGCCTTTCCACCATGGAAATAGACCAGATCCTAGCTTTCTCCCCCATTTCCTGAGTCAAGGATATGTGTTATTGTGGCAAGATATAGCCAAACACTTTCAATCTGAATTTAAAATATAAAAATAGAAAAATAAAAAACTCTAAATAAAGCCCAATTAAAATTATACTTTTTTTTCACCCAATAATTATTGTCAGGGCTGCCTGTCACTATATCCCTGAAAGTAACGAGTAGGGTCTTTTCTAAGCAAGGACTGGTCAAGTGTGCTTATTTATCACATGCCACAAAGGCAGTCCTTATACCCTGTCTGGTGTATGGGGATGGAATTTAACCCTGGGCAGGTGGTTTTTTCTTGTGTTATTCACAACAGGTCAGAGCATCTTTAGCAATGCAGGGAAATCTGAAGCCAAAGGTCTCTGAAGTGTTCACAGAAACAAGGAGGTTTATCTTTCCTTCTTGGGGATTCTGGAGTCATTAAACATCTTTCCCACAAAAAACCCTTGGGAATTGCTTTCTTCCAGCTGTTTTCCAGCTGTTCAGCTCCCACCACCAACAGTGTGTTTGGTGTTTTCCGGTGCAGTTGGATCTCTCACACATCCCAGGCCAGGCGTTATACACTACTTTGGAAACAGTGATTTGCAGATAGGAATTTGGCTCTGGCTGATGGAATATGAGAATTTAATGGGGCATCCCAAAAGACAAGGTAAATTGGAAAACCAGATGTGAAATCCAGCAGCTGTGTCTCACCAGGGGAGCCAGGTCCTTGCAAACAGAAAGTTAGCAAAGAGGTGGTCTGGCAATCAAAATCCCTGGCCCTCAGAAGGGGCTTGTTTGTTCCTCCTCATTTCCACATTTCCCTTGGACAAGAAAGCTCATCCAACTGGTCTGTGTTTCCATCATAGCCACTCAAGTTCATGGTAAGAAAATGCATTCTGGCAGTTAAATTTCCATAGCAATAGCTCTCTCTCTCTCTACTGAAATTCCCAAAACAAGCACTTGTTTGACAAGGTGAAAGTATTCACTAATGAGAGACTCTTTCCTTCTCCTGGAAGCTCAGGTCCCCTCCAGCTGTGGGCTGGTAGTATGAGAACTTGGTCCTCCAACTTCATCCTCCATCTGGTATTTCCTTCTGTGAGCCTCTTTCTCCTCTCCATGGTTTTATTTCTGTCTGCCTCTGGGAGAGCAAATGCTGAAAGGAGACTTAAGTAGGATCCTGTCCTCCATGGAACATTTACTGCAATGGTCAGAAGAGTTTGGGGTAATGAAGGAGTGTTCCTGTAGAATATGGAGACAAGAGAAGCAGCCCTTTCATAGAATCATAGAATTGTTGGAAAAGCCTTCTAAGGTCATGGAGTCCAACTTTAACTCAGCACTGCCAAGTCCACCACTAAATCATGTTCCCAAGTGCCACGTCTACACATCTTTTAATTTCCTCCAGGGATGGTGGCTATACCACTGCTCTGGGCAGCCTGTTCCCATACTTGATAACCCTTTTGATTAATTAGTTTTTCCTAATATCCAGTCTAAACCTCCTATGGTGCAATTTGAGGCCCATACTTCTCGTCCTGTTGCTTGTTTCCTGGGAGAAGATACCAACCCTCACCTCCTTACATCCTCCATTCAGGGAGCTGTAGACAGCGATAAGGTCCCCCCAGGCCCCCTTTTCTCCAGGCTGAGCCCCCCCAGCTCCTTCAGCTGCTCCTTATCAGACTTGTGCTCCATCCAGACCCTTCCCCAGCTTCATGGCAGTCCATCAGCACCTGCTGCCTAGAAACAATGTCACCTAATAGAATTAAATTGAGCTAAACAGCTGAGCTCCATGGACATCATCTGGGGTGTGACAAACCCTTTGGCAGATATCCATCTCCTCTGGTGGTATATGGAGGCAAAGTACTGCATGACACCTCTGCAAAAGGACTCTATGGAATTACAGAGGCTACAGCAAAGAAAAAACTCTCTTTTCTCTCCTCAGGGGCTGATCCTTATGTGATCATCAAGTGTGAAGGGCAGAAGGTTCGCTCTCCAGTGCAGAAGAACACGGTATCACCAGAGTTCGATGTGAAGGGGCTCTTCTACCGCAAGAAGCCAGGACAACCCATCATTGTTCAGGTACCTGGCAGGCAAGCAGTGGGCTGAGGGATGGAGACCCTTGGACCCCCTGCCCTCTCCACACACTGTCCACAGCAGATCTGTTACCCAGGCTGAGCATCATTAGTTAATGCAGCTCAGCCTCTCACCACCACGGTGACGTCTGGGAAAGGCATGTCCTTCACCCCTCTCACTACCAGTGACACCCCCACACCTCACCACCTCCCTGGCTTCAGCTCAGGGTATGTCCCCTGTAACCCCTTCTCTCCAGTTCCTGAAGGCTGGCTGCATCCCTGAAGGAGCTGCCCTCATCCCTGTTTTGTTTCCGCAGATCTGGAACCACAACTTGATAAGCGACGAGTTCTTGGGCCAAGTGGTGCTCACGGGGGATCCCAGCGACCGGCAGTCGGTGCACACGCTGCACCTGCAGGACAGGGGGAACAGGAGGTCCAACGACCTCCCTGGAACCATTGCTGTGATGCTGCTCAGCAGTAACGTCCTCACTAATGTCTGAGTACTCAAGGGTGACTCTTCTGGTGCCACATATGTGAATATAAACATGCACACGTACATATACATATATATATATATAAAGAACACACAGAGCCTACCTACCATCTGCAAAGTGTATATGAACCATGCATGCATTCCACTCCAAGGAGCCAATCTTGTGTTTTCAATGTTAAAAAAATGGTGCCTTTTTTTTGGGGAACCGCAATGATCCTTCTGCTGGCGTCCTCTGCAGTCCCCCAGGCTGCCACGTGCGCTGTGGGACCGCTGTGAGCACGCTGTGTGTCCTGACAGCCAGAGCACCATGCCCTGGGGCTGTTTGTTTACACAGGCTGGCACACACACACGTGCCACCACGCACACCTGTGGCCACCACGGTCCCACCAGCTGCTTCAGTGCATCTTCAGTGTGTCTGCTTGGGTTAGGAGTAGTGTGCATGGAGCTGTCTCCCTTGAAATTGCCATGTAATCGCTTATCTGTGGAGGCACCACAGCAAAGGAGAAGTGGACAAACAGATCGGGGCCTGTTGGGTGATTTTTGGGTATGGGTTTGCCTACTGCAACTGCAAGGAAAACGCACCAAGACAGCCCAAATCCACAGGGGCAGCAAGACCAAAGGCTCCATCATTTTGGGGACAAGCTGTCTCCACCCAAGTCTTGTTCAGCCCCACGCAACTCTAAAGTATAGAAAGATGTCAACAGCTGTGGTGGGATAACAGTTCTCTGGGTCAGGTTTCTGAATCAGTCTGGACCCAGCTCCTGTGGGTGCCTCCTGAACTCCCATGGTGCCTGCTGTCTCCGTGTCTCCATGCCACCCCCATCCCAAGAGCTCACCCCAGGACCTGAGGTGGGTTGTCTGCTGGGGCAGTTCAGTGTTTAGGCAAGAGAAGATTCCTCTGAAGGCCAAAATGTCAAGTTCAAGGGATGAGGAGCTTCGATCCATGAGCTCCATCTGTACTGCTGCCTACAGTGCATCATTTCTCAGTGCCTCGCTTTCTCAAATTCTTTTTAAAAATAGTGGGATTTTCGCTTGTACTAGAGGGGCACTGCTCCCAGTGCAGCCTGGAAATGCTGGGAATATTTAATTCATACCAGTGTCCATCTCTCACCTTTAATTTCCAGTGCACATTCCAGTCCCCTGTCGTGGAGGATGACTTGCACAGTCCTAGAGCCAGTCTCACGAGCACAGCCCAAATGCATCCTTGGGGATGTGTCTGTGGCTACAGTCTGCTCCTGATTTCCATGAAAACTGGGTTAATCTTCCTTGTTCCACTGGGTGGCAGAATCTGGCTTCTTATAAACCATCCCAGATAAACCAAACAACAACCCGTTGTCTGACCTTTCAGCAGCTGACTAGGACAAGTTTCAAACCTTTTTTTTTCCTCTGCTGTTTGGGGGTTTTATTTATGTGCCTTTAAAGTGGTGCAAGTTAAAGGAATTTTTCAGTCAGATTTTCTAAGCAAATATTTTGCAGTCACCTGCATGCAAGTGGAAATTAATACATGTGATAAAATCTTCGAGTCTTCCTAAATTTTGACCTGGGCAGAGTCCTTTTCCTCCAACGAAAGTGAACAGGAAAGCCTTCTTTTGCTATAGCAAAGGGTTTCTGTTTGTCCTACTTAATACTCATGTTTGTCCTGCAAGTCTGTTTGGGGTTTTTTTAAAGTCCCCAAAGGTCTGCTAAGTCTGAAACATGGTGAAGTGTTCTCCAAAGTACCTGCTAGCTCAGTTCTTGGTGCAACCAGAAGTAGATGGTGCAACTGCACTGATTTTTGTGGGCTGTTTTTCCCTTTGCCTCATCTTCACAGTCCTGCAGCTAAGAGTTTGCTTTTTTACCAAATTTGCTTATGTTCTTAAGTCTTGTTTTTCAGGACTTAAAGGCAAGCAGTGGTACCCATGATGCTCTTTCCAGATCTCAATTACTCCTGGCTTGCACTGAGCACCCTCCAAGTCCAGGTGCCACCACTGGGACCAAGTTTGGTTCAGTGTCTTGCAGAATTTACTTAAGTGCTCCTAGTCAGGTAAAGCAACTTTTTGATCCCATGGTCACAGCACATCCTTGAATTTAAGATGACCAATTCAGAGATATTTTGATTTTATCTTGGTTTTGTTTATGAGACTTATCATTGAAAATAAATGGAAGCAGGATTGTGGAGCTAGAAGGTATTATTTGGGTCTTAGGAGAAGATCTCACAGGCTTATGTTCAGAGCGATATGTGAGAGGGATGCCCAAAGATACCTCACCGGGCAGGGGGATGAGCAATTTGGCATTGACAGGAGCTTTGCACCATCATCAGCAGATGGAGGTGTCCAGCCTGCCTGCATTAGCCTTGTTTTCTCAGGAAATTAGGCTATGGATAGCTTCAGCAAAGGAGAGCCATTTGTCCAGGAGTGCCCTGCCATGTGCCAAATGGCACCGAGATTCCCAAGGAGCAGTGCCAAAGCTCACCAAGGAGTTGTGGTGCCCTGGTACCCATGGGCAACCTCCTTCCTCCCTACAGAGAATCAAGCCATAAAGAAAGGAAAGGCAGCTTTTTAATAGCTTCTTAAAAAATCACTCTATATCAGGACCAAATTGTCTTAATATCAGTAATATTTGTCCTTTTTTTTTAAAGAAAAAAAAAAGTTTTGGAAAAGTTAGAGCAGAAGCCTTCTTCCCCTACATTTCCAATGGAAGAACAAAAATTACCTTTCTTACTCTTCTTTTTCTCTTATTTGTAGGGCAGATGAGGGAGGGGGAATATTGAAATGTCATTCCTATCATTGATGCCTTTTCTCTTTGAATGAAGTAAACAGAAATATTCAGGGGGTTTTGGGTTGGATTTTTTTTTTGAGAGGAGGGCATGTCTGAAAACCATTTTCCAGTCCCTCATGAATGGGGTAGGACACATGTCTGATTGATTTCACATTTCTTTTGTTAATCATTTCAATGGTTGCAAGCAGCCTGGCATTACATTCTGTGGGATCCATTTCTTTTTGACATCTGCCTGTTAAAACAGGCTGTGACTTGTCTTCATCTCCAAAGGCACTGATGTATCGTGCTGCACAAGCTCAGAGTGGTCCAAACAGAAAGCCAACATTGTACAGCTGTAAACCTCCTATAAATAAATAAATTGTGTATATTTTATTCAGACTCCTTGCTTTTGAACTGCTGTGTTCTTCCAGAATGCTTTTGGTGGGCACAAGGTGGCTCTGCAGAGCCTTTTGAATTTGCTTGATTCACCAAACTCCATTCAAATCTTTTTCTCTGTAGACTTTGAGACTGAGGCAAGGTGATCTGCATGAGTCTTTCACACAAGGTTACACTCACATTTGCTGAGAAAATCCCAGGTAGGAATGGGTAACCTCCTCTGACTATAAACCTTTGCATCCTATGCCCCAGACTCACCACAGTGCAGGGAACTTGGTTTTTTGAGTCTCACCTGACTTGGAGAAAAGCTTTGTAGATTGCTGAAAAATAAAAATGGGGGGAGAGAGTTTATGGGCAAAGTAGGTGGAGGAAGTGGATTTTGGATGGCTTTCCCTCGGAAAACAAACCTGCACAATGCGCATGGGGAGCATTTGAAAAGCCTGGCCTTGCCCATGGGAATCTCCAGTCTTGCTGCTGTACCACACAGACCCAAAGCTTTAGGGACCTTGCTTCCATCTCAACTTCCCTCCACCCGCTGCCTGTGCTCAAAGTCTTTGCAACACGAAGGAGCTGTGTGCCTCTGCAGCCCACCCTTCAGAGCCTGGAGCAGACATCTGGAAACAGCCCTTTTGTTGTGGCCTGCAGGAGTCTTCCCAGACTCTTCAGCTTCTGGGATCATCCTCTGGGACAAAATGTTTCACCAAATAATGCACAGAGAATGAGCATACTACTCCTCTGCCTCCACCACTGAAACATCCTGCAAGGACCTTTCTTAGGGGAATGCCTTACAAACACTTCAGTCCCCCAGACATCTTGATACTCTCCTGGAGGATGTCCTGAGCAGTAGACCTGGCTGGGCACCTATGGAGCTGTGATGTTTGATGCTAGACATAGCTCAGGAGCTCTGGTGCCAACCACAAGGCTTTACTGAGTCTGGCTTTGTGCACATTCTTAAAAAAGTCTATGCAAGCCTGGGTAAGCCACAGACCATCATGTAGGCATGGAGGTTGTGCTTTCCCACCAACGTCCACACCTCAGTTTTGCTGGTACTGGGACAATGGGATTAAAAGTGTAGGTTGCTTTGCAGCCCTGCCTGTGTCTGCTGGTGGTGCACACCAGCATGGAGATAGGGCTTCTGGAATTGCTGTGGGGCCTCAGCACGTTAGTGGGGAGATGTGCAGAGACTGTGCATGTTTGGAAATGAGCAGCAAGTAATAGAGTCGTGCACACCTCCAAGCACAATCCAGCCCAGACTCACCAAGGATCCTTCAGGATCTCGTCATCCCTCCAGCACGGTCATTTGCCAGGGATTTCTGCTCACAACATTAGTTTCATATAGTTCCATAATAGTTTTCATAGGGGACTTTTTAAAGGGCTTTTTGTAAGGGAATGTTTTGATAGAACAAATGGGGAATGGCTTTAAAGGGAAAGAGAGTGAGGTTAGATCAGATATCTGGAAGAAATTCTTTACTGTAAGCTTGGGTAGGCACTGGCACAGATTGCTCAGAGAAGCTGTGAATGTGATGCAATGCTGGAAGTATCCAAGGAGAGGTTGGATTGGGCTCTGATCAACCTGGTCTAGTGGAAGGTGTCCCTGGCCATGGCAGGGGGCTGGAACTACATGATCTCTAAGGTCCCTTCCAACCTAAATCATTCTGTGATTCTGTGATTCTATGGTTCTATGATTCTATGATAAACTGGAAGTTCAGGGTTTTTCCTTTGACCTGAAAGAGCATCTTCATGGAGGAACAGACATCCATCCTATGCTTGAAAGTTGGTGCTGAAGTATTTCTTCTTGTACCTGGATCCCCTGTAGCCGGGATCTTCCCACCTTAAGCCTGTATGCATTCCCTGCCATATGAGCCTCCTGCCACTGAAAAGGCTAAGGGATTTCCAGCAGGAAGGGCTGCAGAGATGGAAGGGCCTTCAGCAGTGGGATGTGTTCATTGCCTGTGCCTCAGAACTGCTCGGGTGCTGCCACATCCTTGGCCAATAGCCCAGGTTAATAGCCAGGGATCAGCCACTGGAGTCTGTTCTGTGCAGCTGTCCAAAGGCTCCCTGCACTCTCCAAATCCCACCTCCAAGCCCAGGGTGCAGTCAGGAAGCAAGTCCAGCTCTGTGTTCCTGGCAAAGCCTCCCTCACTGCCTTTCCACACATGCATGGGTCCTGTTGGGCACAAGGCAAGGCTGTCCAAGCCATTCCAAGTGCATCAGATGCAGTCCAGAGCAAAGCCCAGACACAGCCAGAGCCTGCCCTCACATCCACACCAGCTGTACTGACACAGTGAGGAGGCCTTGAGTGACATGGACATGGCCCCAGGTGGTCACAAATCGTCTGTCCTGAGCTTAAGGTCAGCTGAGTCTGTTCACAGCTGAGGGCAGGGCATCAGCAGGGCATTTCTAAGGGCTGGGGAAGGGACCATGTGACTGTGCCGTGACTTCTACATTTTGAGCAGAGTTCCCAGTTAGCTTTGAAGCAAGGAGACTCCTTTTTATTGCTCCTTATTTCTGCAGTATCATCAAAAAACCACATTCAGTTGGGTCCCCAGGAGGATTTCCAGCACCCTCATTCCAAAGTGGAGCTTAGAAACAACTTTTATGGTAACACTGCAAATATAAAGGTATATTTTGCACCTTCCACTAGCTAAAATTACAAGCTTTATACCTAAGTAAGAAACTTAAGTGGTGTTTCGTAGCACAATTAAAATCCAACTCCACCTTTCTCAGCAGGAAGGAAAAAAGACACTAGCCCAGATTTGGGCAGGGAGTCACCAGGTCAGAGTTAAGATTCTAGGTGAAACCTCAGCTCTGATTTTCCTGATCTCAAGTGTTTTCCTGTCCCAGTTTTCACATTTACAAGTGCACAAGGCTGGTGCATTCAAACAAGGATGCCTGTCAGCTCCTGGCCTCACCCCACAGGACCTCAGTACTGTCCCTGCACAGCCCAGAGACCTCTTTGCACAGGGCAGGAGGACCTTTCCAGCCAC